AACAAAAGAAATTTAAAGCCCTCACAAACTGGTGGGAAGGTAATTGGTCATGGTGGCACAAACCTATAATCTCAGCACTTAGGAAGCTAAGGTAAAAGTGCCATGAGTTCAAGACCAGCCTGGACTACACAGTGAGTTCAAGGCACATTGAAAACTCTATCTCAAAATGAACAAACAAACAAAAGGGGTGTGAATGTGAAATGGTATCACTGTTGTGCTAAAAAGCATAGCAATTCTTCACTTATTCATCCTCTTCTTTATTATGTTGAACTCTGGTAGCAAATGGAACAAAACCAGGCATCTGGGAAAAAGCAACTGTGTCCATGACGACAATGGTATGGTTCATGCTAAATTCCAAACAACCTTCCCTCCAAGGCCACTGGGTACAAAATCATGTGATGTGATTATGTACCCTTCAAGAATTTAGACTACTGGCAGGCGCAAGGGCCTGAGTTCAACCCCAGTTCTGCCAAAAAAAAAAAAAAGACTTTAGACTAATACCAAGTAAATATATAAAAATGAATTTGTAGCTGAGAATGGTGTCACACACCTATAATTGCAACACTTGGGAGGGTGAGGCAGAATGATCACTGAGTTCTAGGCCAGTGTGAACTGCATAGTGAAACCCTCTTTCACAAAGACAAAAAAAGGGCCAGGGCAATAGTTCAGGGGTCTAAGTACCTCCCTGGCAAGTGCAAGGTCCCAAGTTCAATCCCCAGTACCACAGTCCATGCTGGCCATCAAAACCAGATGTGGTAGCACACACCTATACTCCCAGTGCTGGGGAAGCTGAGGATCACTATGAATCTGAGTTGTGTAGCAGACCCTGTACCAAATAAACAGATTAAAAATAAATATTTTAAAGTTCAATATGGAATTATACTGTAATTCTGTACTTCCACTCTTAGGTATATCCCCAAAAACTGAATGCAAGCACTGAAACAAAAACTTGTACATCAGTGTTCACAAAGGCACTATTAACAATAACAAAAATGTAGAAACAACCTAAGTGTCCACTGACTGATAAATGACTATATATAATATGGTATATATAGTATCTGTCAAAGAAAATTATACATCAAGAAAAGAAAAACTTGGTTGTTTTTGTCTGTTTGGGTTTTTTTTTTTGCATTTCAGGCTGGTCCTGCCTCAGCCTCTCAAGTGCTGGGATTATAGGTTTAAGCCACCATGCCCAGCCTATAAATAGTTTAATATTATTGAGACATGAGATTAATACAAGTTATTTCTGGCCTCTATAAATACAAGAAGTTTTCGAAGAAGTGGCCACTAAGCCTCCAGACATTTATTAGTACAGTGAACTGCTAAAGTGTGTATACATTTTTTGGTGGACTTTATTTACACATACAATAAATATTACCCAGCCATAAAAAGGAATTAAATTCCAATACATGCTACAATACAGATGAATCTTGAAAACATTGTGCTAAGAGAAAGAAAAAGACAAATATATGCTTCCTCTTAATAAGGTACTAAGATAAAGAAAACTCATATAGCAGAACAGAGGTAATAGGAAAGGACCGGGAGCTGTGTTTAAAGGGCATAGAACCTTCAATTGTGAGTTCAATCCCCGGTTCTGCCAAAAAAGAAAAAAATCTTTATTTGAAACAATCCGTCTGGAGAAGGATATTAGTGAGGACTGCATAACAGTGTGAATGTACTTGAAGTCACTGAATAGTATACTTAAAATCATTATAGTAAATTTTTATGTCATGCATATCTAATCATAATGAAAATGTGTACAAAATAGGAAGTCATTTTTTTCAATAAAGGGGAAAAAAATGAAGATTTCCTTTGAGAGCAAAAATCAGAGTAGGCCAGCAAGACAGCTCAGTGGCAGACAGCAGAAGAGTACCTGTCTGGAATGTACAAGCCATGGGTTCAATCCCCAGCACCAAAAATAAATGAATAAACAAACAGACAAGAGTTTCAAAGTGTCAGAAGGCAATATAATCTATAATCTACGAGTTAGTTTGTACAATGGTCTTTTGGGGGATTGAACTCAGGCCCTTCTACTGAGCCATCTCCCCGGCCCCTATACAATGGTCTTGCCAGGACTGAATATCTAGATATTTCAGGGCCTTCACACTGAACTACATCCCTATCTCTTTTTAAAAAATTGATTATTTGAGGCCAGGGAGACAGCTCAGTAGAATAAGCGCTTGCCTTGCAAGCACAGGGTCCTGAGTTCAATCCCCAGTACCCCCCCTCCCCCCACAAAACTGAATATTTTCACTAAATTTTTTTGGGAAAAAAAGTTCTATTGTAATTTCTTCCATAACTGTGTCACTCCTAGATAGCTAAAAATAAATGACGGGCTAAGGATGTAGCTCAGTGGTACAGCATCTGCCTGGCAAGCATGAGGCTCTGGGTTTGATTCCTGATACCAAAAAAAATAATTAAAATGAAAACACTTTGTCGTCATCCATATCAAGAAGTAAAAACTGGACCAACCAGATAGCTCAGCAGATTAAAGCACCTGCTTAGGCAGATGCAGAGTCCAGGTTTCGATCTACCCCACCATGCGGTGCCTTAGGAGGGCGAGACTGGGCATAGTGGCTCACGCCTGTAATCCCAGCTCTTGGGAGACTGAAAACAGGGGGATCACTACAAGTCCAATCTGTATAGTGAGACCCTGTGCTAAATACATTTTTTAAAAAAAAGTAAAAACTAAAAAATAAAAATAAAAGTTTCCTAGTAGACCTCCAAGTACTTAGTTTTGTTGAGTTTTTGGTTCGGTGCTGGGGATTGAACCCTGGGCCTCAGGCATACTTATCACACATTCTACCTAGCCCCAGCCTCCAGCTGGTAATTTGAAAAATATTTTAGTGTATCTCTGGGTGATAGGCAGTTTCTTTCTATTGTTCTTTATAGTTCCACTTTTACTGGGGGGGGGTACTGTAGATTGAACACAGTGCCTTCACACTTAACTACATCCCCAACCTTTTCAAAAAAAAACTTTTAATAGTACTGTTGGGGATAACACTTCATTCTTTGACCTATCTCATTTTCATATTTGTGTCCGTCCTTGGTTGTTCCCGACCCTTAACCCTCAACACTGTGTTAAAAAAAAAAGTCTAAATTTTGCTAACAGATTGTGTAATTCCCAGTTGGGCCTGGTGGCACGCACCTGTAATTCCAGCTCTTAGGGGGCCTGAGGCAGGGGGATCACAATGTGTTCAAGCCCTACCTGGGCTACAAAGGGAATTCAAGGCCTGAACGACAGGGCAAGACTGTCTCCAAAATAATGATGATGCAGAATAGAATGTCGAGCTCCTTCTCCACAGATCCCTCCCACCTCGACCCCAACCTCAGCTTCCTGTCCTCACTTTCCCTCAAAAATTCCGCTTTTTCCACCTACCTTGCCACTCCCACTTGCCCAACTCTTCCACTCCTTTTATGCCCTTATCTTTACCCCCTCAGTTTGTCGGCCACCATTCTCTAAACATTCCCTTCCCCGGGGCGGGGGGGTGCATACTTCCATGGTTCATAGGCTCCATTCTATTTGCCAGCTCCTCCCACCCACCCTTAATATTCCAGCCCGCGCGCACACAGCATCAGTTCTCTCTTCCTCGTCTCTGAAATCAGCACCTCATGAGCCTTTGACCCAAGGGTAAGGTAGCCCGGTGATAGATGGGTTAACTGACCCATGGTCTCAAACCGCATAAAAAGATGTTAAATGACCCACCTCCTAGGCGGATGCTTTTGCCCGATGACGCGTCTGGCGTGGGCCTGTGCAGTCTCAAATTTTTACGCCACCCGCAGCGCGAAGTTCCTAGACACGCAAATGCCACGGTCCCCGCGCGCCGCCATCTTGTGAGGCCATCCGGCGTAATGATTGGACAAATAGCTCTCGCGATACTGCCACCTAACCTGAAGAAAGGAAGAAGTGTCGCGATATCTGAAATTTGCGGCTCCTTTTGACAGAAGGCGGGGTTGAGGGGGTGCGTGGTAGCTAGTGAAAGAGTCCTTTGCGGTGAGGTGAAAGAGGGACCAGGACACCAACCCGCTGAGGAACTTTTTGTTTTTATTAAAGTAGCTTTCTGGGTCTACCTCTAGGTTTCCCAAGTCATACTCTCTGAAGATGGCAGAGAATAGGAGGATGCGGGAGGGAGACTATTGTGTTTGATGACGGGCAATTGTTGCTTATTGTGTAACAGGTCTCTCTTTATAGGGTGCCATATTTAATCATCACAGATCCGTGAGGTGGGATATGAGTAGCCTCATTTACAGAAGAACTGAGGATTAGAGAAGTCGTATGTTAAAGATCTTACATTCAGATGTCATAAAATCCTTGTTCTTTGATTTTCCTCACTTGCCTCTTGAACTAGAAGCTCACAATGCATTTCATTTTTGTTTCAACTCCGTTATTCTCATTTTTACTTTCAGATAAGTAGAGTGAGCTTTAGTCTCCCTATCCTATAACGGAAACAGAAACGAGACCTTAAAAAGGCCCGAAGCTAGTAACAAAGCTAGAGCTAAAGTCTGTGCCTAGGACTTTTTAATGGGGGGGGAGGGAATTGGGGGGGGCAGGGTTGTTTGTATTTTGGGTTTTTTGAGACAGGGTTTTGCTGTGCAGTTCAGGCTGATCTTAAACTCATTCTTTTACCGAGGCTGGCCTCCAACTCACTGTGATCCTCCTGATTCAGACTCCCCAGTGCTACAGTTATAAGTGTATACCACCACGCCCAGCTTTTAATGGTTTTTAAGAAATGAGCTGGGCAACACTCCCCTAGCAAGTTCCAGGTCCTGAGTTCAATTCTCAGTAGGAAAAAGCAAAACTATAAAACATGGGTTGGGGATATATTTTAGTGGGAGAGCATGTGTTTTACCATGCACAAGTTCTTGTCTTCCATCCCCTGCCCTACAAAAACAAAACAGAACAAAAATGGCAACAGTACATGATGGCACATACTTCTCCTAGAGAGACTATGAAAAGAAGCCACATGGAGAGGGGGAAAAAAGCTGAAACTACAGAAGAGAGCCAGCTCTTTCAGCTGAGAAAGCTAATGCTGGGCCCGTGGGCAAGGACAGCAGAATAGCTGGTTTAATCACAGCCTGGATTGCAAAACTGAGTAAATAAAATGGTTGTTGTTTTCAGTCACATATTTTAGAATGGTTCATTAGATGATAGGTAATGAAAACATGACAACTTTCCGTCAGTGATGTCTGCATAAAGCTCAGCTCTCCACTCCTTATTGCTTATCTCCCACTTTTATGGTACTAATTTGCCAAATGAATTCATACTAAGTATTAGGTCCTGAGCACTACTACCCCCTTCCTTTTGAAACAGGATCTCCCTAGGTAGCCCAGGCTGAATTTGTAGTGGTCTTCCTACTTCAGTTTACTAATGGCTAGGATTACAAAGTATGAGCCATTATGTCCTGCTGCTATTTTTGTTCTGTTTTTTTTTGTTTGTTTTTTTTTGTGATGCAAGTCAAGAACTTGTGCATGCTAAAACACATGCTCTACCATTGGAATGTACAGTTTTGTTTTGTTTTTTCATACTGGGAATTGAACTCAGGACCTGGCACTTACCAGGCAGGTGCTGCCTACACATTGATTCAACATTTTCAAAAAGGTAAAAATGGAAACTGCTAACCTTATTAAATCTTAGGTTCAGAACTGGCACTTTCACCATGTTCTGTGAGTTAAAGCAAACTGAACAATCCACCTGGATTCAAAGAGAAGGGACTGTGCCAATATGCCTTCCTGTATACAAAGCCATTGCTCTCCTTTTTTTGGTCTTTTTGAGACAGGGGCTCTCTGTGCAGTTCAGGCAGGCCTTGAGCTCAATTTGTAGCCCAGGCTGGTCTCCAACTCACAGCAATCCTCCTGCCTCAGCCTCCTGAGTGCTGGGATTACAGGCATGTGCCACCACACCCAGCACATCTACATACACAGCAGCAAAGACCAAGAAGTTGTACAATTAGTCAATTAAATCCTTTGCTTCTTTTGTTTCTTTATTGTTTGGGTATGTTTGTGGAGTCAGGGTCAAGCCATACTGCCCAGCTGTCCTTGAACTCCTAGGCTCAAGGAATCCTTCTGCCTCAACCTCATCAGGAGCTGAAACCACAGAAATGTATCATAGTGCCCAGCTGCTTATTTTATTTTATTTTTTTTTAAAGAGCACTTTCTTTTTTTTTTAATTATTTATTTATTTTATTCCTTTGTGTGTGTGTGTGTGTGTGTGTGTGTGTGTGTGTGTGTGTGGCCAGCTCAGC